AAAGAAGCACAGGGAAGAAAAGAAAGGAAAATAATAAAGAAAAGAGAGAGACACTGAAAAGCACTAAAAAAGGAAATGAAGAAAGAAGAGAGGAAGGAAGGAAAGGGGAAGGAAAAGGGATAGGAAGAAGAGAGAAAAGAAAGGAGAGAAGAAAGAGTATGATAGATGAGCAAAAGTGACGAGTTAATTCTATTAATGCTAAAGGTAAGAACCAGGACCGAGGTTGAAGTTACAGGAGGAAAACGATGATTCCATGTAATAAATTTTTAACAACTAGAGATTTTCAAAAAGAAACAGGTAGCCTTATGAAGTGGTATACTTTTTACAGCAACGGTTGAAGCAAGAAGTGGATAATCAGCAAACAAGGATATGCTGAGGGATTTTCTGCATTGTTGGAAAAAATATATGAAAAGACTTACAAGGGAGACAAACCATAAGAGACTCTTAATCTGAGGAAACAAACTGAGGGCTGCTGGAGTGGAGGGGGTGGGAGGGGTGGGATGGCTGGGTGATGGACATTGGGGAGGGTATGTGCTATGGTGAGTGCTGTGAATTTTGTAAGACTGATGAATCACAGACCTGTACCCCTAAAACAAATAATACATTATATGTTAATAAAAAAATCAAAAAAGAAAAATCTATTATAGTTCTATACAGTAACAATAAATAATCTGAAAACAAAACTAAAATATAAAAAAAATGACTTACAAGGTCTATCCTAGTACTAAGATTCTACTATTTAACATTCACTGTTAAGATTTTCATTGTCACAAACACGTGTGCGTAGGAGTATGCTCTTGCTCTCCCTATATCTCTCTTTTTCACCTAACCACACACACAATTAACTCGTAATTAGGTGCAAAATAACTAATAGAATAATTTACTATTATTTCAGGTATTTCCATATAAGCATTAGAAAATAACACTCATCCTAATGTGGATAAAATCTCCTTTGTTCACTAACTCCACTATGTACTTATTTTGCCATGTAATTCTTGGTAAACTATTTGAGATTCAGAAAATGTAGTAATCAGAAAGGTTTGTATTAAAACCATTTTCAAAAATGTGGTAATCTATTCAATAATCATTTATTTTGAAGGTCAAAGCTAAGATTTTGAAGGCTTAAGAAAGGATGTATATCAGAAATACAATTCTACTGAAAACTATACTGAATATACAATTCTGTACTCAGGAAACATTGCTTGAGCCTTCAAGTCTTTCAGTTAGTCTCTGATCTGACAGACTCCAGAAGATATTATTTCCCTATTTATTTCCTTCTCTTTTTAGAATCAGAAGTAAAAATCAATAGTTGCCCTCTATGTTCTAAAATTAGTTTTTCTCATGTGGAGGAATAAATGTGTTTTCCCTTTTAAGTTTGTTGGTACTACAGTGTTGTCACAATATGCCAAATTCAGATGTTACATAAATGGGTTATTAATAAAACAAATTTATTAAGTATATTCGAAACAAATTCTTGAGGTTTCATGTATTGAAGCTATATTTTAAAATAAAATTCCATACGGTGCTAGCCTCCTCAGAAAATAGAAAATGCAGCATTTGGGGTGTATATTGACCTATAAATTGCCACATCCTCTGCTTTAACTCATTAACTGTTTAAAATGTGTGGCTGGTGTATATTGTGTGGCTCATTTCAAAAGCAATATATTAATAAACAGTATGGCTCAGAAAATCCAAATTATGTAAAGCACTTTTCTCTGTAAAATAATTTAACAAAATAAAAAATGTGTGCATAAATTGTGAAAACTCTAACAGGATAATATTGGAAACTTCAACATTAGAGGAATGATCTGATAAAGCATAAACATAATTGAATATTTTATCCATCAAAGTAATAATTATGAAGACTATATCAAAATATGGAATAGGGTTTCAAATATATGGTTAAAAAACAGAATTATCTAAAATTATGTATATTTTACAACTATGGATATTTACATATGAAAGGGATGTGCAAAAGTGAAAAGATTTTAGAGTTTATATAGTTCTTGGACCCTGAAGTCCATGTATAAGTGAAGAATCTATAACTAGATTAGTTAGAGAATGGTGTAGTTAGTAGTACTTCCCAGGGTAGTTAGGGAATGGATTTTCTTTATTTCTATTTTATGGAGGAGGACTCATAAAATCTGTACCTTTACTCTTAATTAACCGGTGGAGAATTAGAAATAGAAAAGATAGTACCTATTTGTTAATCAATAGTCATTCTAATATGCTGCCATAATTGAATTTATTATCAGTTTTGCAAGGATTATACTATTTGACCTTGAGTGCTAAATAATTATGTGGCAAGATGTAGTATACTGTTAATATTATTGTTTTATGACATTGTACATTAAACTGAAAATTAACCATAAGATTGTATACATGAAAAGGACATTTTCAAAAATTGTAATGAATTGATATATTTAAGGAAACTTCTAATTTGTATGATTGACCTTAAAGTTATAATTTTTCCATAAAACTCCATTTAATACATTATTATACTATAATTCAAAAACATTAATGCAATTTCCAACAGGGATAAATTTATTAATGGTAGTTTCTTAGTAGTGAATATGACTCAATTTAAATAGTGAATCATCTAAGCATTTTTCCTATTTACGATGCTATCTATTTCCGTTTTAGCTTATAGAACAAACTCTTCTATCTTTTAGCAACTTCTGTAATTATCACTCATTTTTAGAAATATATTTTAGTGCAACAATAATACTTTCATTGAACAGCTAGAAAGAGTTTTAAATATAATTTCTAAAGTACTTATTTCCTTAGGAGAACCAAACTTGTCATTCTCATAAATTTAAGAAATACTTTATCCCCGCGATATAAAGGGAACATTTAGAAATAAAATACCAAACTTAATACCTGAGTCTTTCTTAGAAATGTAAAGTATATGTATTATAATCATAGAGAATCAGTCTTTTCAAATTCTATTCTCACCTGCAATTGGTTTATTTGAATAGATTTCTGGAAATGCATTGGAAAGACATTATGAGTTCATGATGATAATTCTAATTTGAGTTTATCATTACAGAGTTTTTACATACCTCCATTGATTTGATATCTATATCCCCATTTCCCATAGAAAAAACAAACCGACCTAGTCCTCAATAACACCAAAATAATTACTCATTTGCTTTAACCCTCAACATACACAGATTCAGAATTACTATAGTAATATAACCAACAAAAATATCATTATTAAAAACAGTTTAATATTTTTTACAGTTTTTTTTTTTAATCCTTAAAATTATCTCATTAGGATGTATGCTAAGTTACTATGTTTTAGAGTTTTAAGTAGTTACTCTTGGAGGCTGTGCCTCAATACACAGGTTTCTTTCGTTTTTCTTTGCTTTTTTTGTTATTACTTTTTTAAGGGCTAATTTGTTTTCTAAGCATTTAACTATTTACAGCGTTCCAAAGTAAATTTTCAAGGGAAGGCAGATTCTGAGACTTCTATCTTGCAATTTTATAGTGTCCATGCTATTGTCTCCCACCCCTGAAGGTATCCATGGTTATCATTTTTTCTATTCTTGGGTTTATCCTTACATTGTTTTTTATACATTCTTCCCACCTTATTTTTTTCACTTAAAAATGTATCCTGAGGGCGCCTGGGTGGCTCAGTTGGTTAAGCGACTGCTTTCGGCTCAGGTCATGATCCTGGAGTCCCAGGATCGAGTCCCGCATCAGGGTCCCTGCTCGGCGGGGAGCCTGCTTCTCCCTCTGACCCTCCCCCCTCTCATGTGCTCTCTCTCTCTCATTCTCTCTGTCTCAAATAAATAAATAAATAAATAAATAAATAAATAAATAAATAAATCCTGAAAAAACTCCATTATAGTTTTTATAGATAGCCATAATTTTCTGGTGGATGTAGCATAGTTTTTCAACCAGTCCCTTTTTGACGAACAGTTAAATTGTTTCCAGTCTTTACAAATAAATCTCAGTGAGTAGTCTTGTAAATATGTCACTTTGTGTTCAGTGTATCTTTGGGATAGATTTCAAAAAGCCCAAGTGTAAATGAACATATAATTTGCCTTAAATTGTCAAATTTCCCTTCATGAAAGTTGTACCATTTTGCATTCCCACCGACAATGTATTAAAGCGCTTTTCCCTATAGCCTAGTCAGCAGAGCCTGCTGTCAGATTTTTGGATTTTTGCCAATCTGCTTGGTAAGAAATGGTATCTCAGTACATTTCATTTATATTTCTCTTTTTATGAATGAATTTTAACTTCTATGTAAAAACCTGTTGTATTTAAAAATTAGAATACTTTAAAATGAGGGGGATTTTGTTAGAGAAAAGAATCTATGATATATATATTCTAGGGAAATTTTGGAAGTTTAATGCAAGATTAGGTTAGGATTGGGTTGTTAAAACAATTTTATATAGGGGGAAAAAAGACATGATGCTGAAAATAAACTTCAGAAGTTAAATGTTTCAATTTTATTCAAATGTCACAGAAACCATGCAAAAGAAATAATTCTCATGTTGATATGCAATAATTTATAGTTAAGAAGTTTGTGATTTAAACTTTTATAAAGTACTAAGACTTTATAAAGTACTAAGTCTTAAGGAGAAAGAAAAGCCTATAAATGATTGTGTAATTGCAGAGTATTTTTCTATAGCAGACTTAGATTGGATAAAATATAAGATCCAAGTGTATTGTACTTCATGTCATAACATAAAACCAAAGCCAGTTTAAAGGAAAATGTCCTCCACTAACAAAGACTAAGATGATGAGTTCTGGCTCTCATTCTTGGACTATTTGAGTTTTTCCTATGTTCCCTAGTAATGTCTCTAAATATATTTTAATACTTTATTTGGATTAAATAGAGTAGCTCCTAAGGCTTTCTTATTAATCTGATATCCACAATTGCTGTCCTCTTCAACAAGAATTATATTTTCCTTGGAAGACAAAATATTAAAGTAAGGATTCTGGAGAATGATTCCTGACAATTAATTCTTAGTTATTTTCTTTCCTTTCAGCACCTTCCCTGATAGGTGTGGTAAGGAAGGACTGGGCATCCCAAAATAGCATTGCCCTATCATGGCAAGCACCTGCTTTTTCCAATGGAGCCATTCTGGACTACGAGATCAAGTACTATGAGAAAGTAGGTCTTATTTGGAGCTTCCTAAAAAACTACATATACATATATATGTATATATGTATATTTTGAGCATGTTGTTATATTATTTTACTTTAAAACCTGTTCTTTGACCTAACTTCATACCTACTATTTCTTTGAAAACTTTCTAATTTACTATTATGCTTATACTTTCTTAATTAATTTGTTTTGTTTTATGTCAGATTATAAAGTAGAAGACACAAGATGTTCATTTCTGTCATGACTTAATATAGGGATTTTTCCAATATAGTAAGAGGCAGTAACTCCTTTAGTTTATAGTTTAGTTGACATAACATTGTTTCTACAGTTCACTCGGAAGACATGGTAAAATGGAATTGCTCTAACCTAAAGAGAGAGTTTGTGTAACCCATATTTTTTGCCAATGAGTTTAAAGTTAACAGTTCACTATAATTTGGAAAGGATGATTTAAGGGATAAATGGAAACAGCTGGTGGTTTAAAATTTTTCTTTACATTTAGGTCAGCTGTTTTACTTTTTTAAGAAGCTAGCAAGATATATCTGGTTAATAAATCAACTTAATTTTAATTTTCATTTTTGTCATTTTAAAATCGTTCTCAGCTACTATATTTTCCCCAAATTATATACTTCCTTATTTTTATTGTATCCACATTCTTCCTTATGTTTTTTCCCCTTATTCCTCACTATTATGATACTGTGCCTGTAGACATTGTCACAGACCACATAACAAGTCTGGTATGTCTCCTTGTGCAGCTACTGCTCTGGAATATTGATAAAGGGAACATTAAATTTTTAAAAATAAAGTAAAAATCATACACAATTTCTAGTTGTATAGTACGGTAAGAAGGAACTTCTTGCATTTCTGTAACTGACTAGAAGCAAAGGAACATCACAAATAAATTTTTATTTCCTCTGAAGAAATACAAGACAAGAACAGAAATGGAAGTCTATCTTTTTCTACTCTATTGCTTCTAAGCAAATATAAGTTTGAAATAGGATAGGTAACTCAGTAGCCTGCCTGTATCCATTTTTGACACTCCAGTAATTTCAGCATTATGTAGTCAATGAAAACTGTCATTATGAACCAACAGGAATAACTCCATAGTCTAAGAAAGGGGAAATTGACTGAGTTTTAATTGGATTACAGATTCAGCACATTAGCCAAGCCAGCATGTGCCAGAAATCCTGTTGAGCTATCCTTTCAAATGTTACAACCTCTAGCACGCTGTCACAAAATACACATATTTTCTGTCTACTTGTCTAGATAGATCTTTAGGTATGCAGAAATTCTCATTATTTAAAAAAGCAATGGGCACATATATAAGCAACTTTTCAGAATGAGAATATTCCTCCATGTTTTATGAAGGCTGTATTTTGTACACAGAAAATCATTCTCATTTTATAGTCATTTATACTTCGTATGTTTGAAGATGAAGATAACTTGCAATATTTCCAATTAAGGACAAATCATACAGATTCTGTAAAAAGGGAACCATATTCATCCAATCAAAATTTTAGAAATCAATAATATCCTGAAAGATGGTAATTGACATAATTTCCGTGTTTTAATGATAAAATAGGTAATGTTATGAAGGAGTCTATTTTGTAAGAAAATGGCAGTTTTGCTAATGAAGTCACTACACATGTAGTAAACCTGGAGTTGGAAGCCAAGGATGCCTATTTCATGTTCTGATTGTGACTCTCATTATGCCTTTGGCCAAGAAAACTCAGTTAATCTCCCTATGTTTCACACTTCACATTTACAAAAGGGAAATGAAGGTATCAACTCTTCAAGTAGGTTGTAAAGATTAATTTTATAAACAGACCTAAAGATGAAAAGCACACTAAATCAGTATTAGAAATCATTTAATTTAAGAAAGAATTAAGGAAATATTTGGCATATAACATAGAACCAGTATACAATAGCATGGGGATTGTATACAAACTAAATAAAAATCATTCTTTTCATACGTAAATACATAATGTATAGGCAACTAATCAACGATGTTAGAATATCAAAACTTTCAGAGCGAGCATAAAATGACTGATAGGATTAAAACTGTTTCCAACTATGGCTTCATACTGTAACTGTGCATTTTACCTATAGGCATCTATAACATGATTTCTGCTTTCAAGAAAATATTTTTATAAAATTTATAACTAACACCTTACAATAGAACTCTTAAAATGCTAATTTCCTTCTTTATTAGGAACCTAAATACTGTTCAGTAAGAAAAGCAAGATACAAAGAAATATATGTACAAATATATGATCCTAATTTTGGAATGCAAATATCCCACTCTATATGTGTATGTATATATGATTATATAAATATAGAGAAATATGGACTGGAACAGAGTGTACACCATGCTGTCTCCAATGTTGCTTGTTGAGTGGGAGTGGCATGGGGGACTGAAGTACATGGATGGAGGCAAGGAAGAGAGAGGGAAGTAGCAAGCATAGATAAATACAGATGGATGGATGAAGGGATGGATCCAAAATAGCTTTGCTTTTTGTCTTCTGTCTAGTTGCCCTTAAGCAAACCCTGAGACAGGATTTTGTAAGCAAGTGATTAATTAAGAAAGCTCCTAGGAAAACCGGTAAAGAATGGGGAAGCAGGACTATGAAGAAAATGCCAGTCAAACTCAGAGTGACCAACGGGAGCTCTGGAGTATAAATTACATCTCACAGTTCATCCTATGGAGATCAAGGAGCTGAGCTACCATACTCTGGCTCCAGGCAATCATTGGCCACAAGTCCTAATGAGGTGTACAGAAAAAAAAAAAAAAAAAAGTCAGCAGCACTTCTGGTTCTCTGCAGTGGCTTTAGTAACCCACGTTTAGGTCTATAAAGAAGGTGCCAGATACAAGCCTTTACAGTCAAAAAAACAAACATTGGGGGGTGGGTAGGAGCAGGAGCAGATAAAGGTGATCCAAGGGGGTCTGGTGGTGCACCATTAACTAAGGTACTTCTGTGCTCAGGGAACTGTGAAAGAATTTTAAGCCTAGGCTCATTATAATATTCATGTTCTCTTCAGTCTTTAATATTGGTGCTTCAGTCTTTAATTTATGGGATTTTATACCTTCCATTTCCTTTTAATCAAAGTTACTCTGTATTGCTAACTCATAATTAACCCACAAATGATCAATATTTACACCATTCTCTCAGGAATTCATGCTGTTTTATTATGTTCTCCTTAAGAGCATTATTCTGTAAATTAGGAAAGAAGTTAAGCTGCTTAGAATGTGAAGTGTCCACAAATATCTGAGGTCAAACAACATACTGTTGTTAGCAGTGACCTTTTTTCAGGGAATATGTAGTATTAGAAAAAGGCCCTGCCCTGGGTGTTCAAAAACTCAATTTTGGCTCAGATCTTAATTTTCTTAGTCCTGTTTCTTCATCTGTAAAAAAAAAAAAGGTCTAGTAAGATAATCTCTAGTTCTAGCTCTTTCAAAATTACATCCATACAGTTTATAGATATGTTATCCCGTAACTCAAATAACTGTAGTTTTTCATTTATGTCTACTGAAATTAAATGCACACACATTTAAAAAAGTACTTTACCACAGGGAACAGTATTCTTCACATTATAATTATATATAAAAATTAAGACCCTATGTTGTCTTCTGTGTGTGATGAGAAGGGTATGGAGAAGAAAACATATTGCTTGTTGATTATAACTAGATATTGTCTGTTCAGTTAATTATACCCCCCCAATTCTTAGTTACTTTTTTCATACTCAAAAAGTGTTTCATTTTTTTACACTCAAGTGAATAAACTTTGAACATGAAAAGGCACTTAAAATAATGAAGAAAGTCAGGTATGTTACCAAAAAAATCCTCTTTCATATTTACTTACTAACAAAGTAAAGCCTGCTCATGAGGGAACTGTTAAAAAAAAAAAAAAAAAGACAAATTAGGTGATACAAACATGCTTTATTTAACACTTCAGGAAGTGGACAGTCTCAGAGAACTGCAAAATGGGGCAGAAGGCAGGAAACTTTTATAGGTTAAAGACTAAGAACAAAGAAGAGAAAAATTGAAAATATCTGACTGGCTGAGGCCACATATTTAATCTTATTTGGGGTGAGAAGGAAGGGGGAAAGAAGTGTAGAGTTGGCTTGGCATTTGGGGACTGGCTAACTGGATATACTGTGTTTTTGATCAAACAGAATTTACAGGGATACAAAAATCGTATTCAGTTTGCTGGTGTGGCACCCCAGGTAGAAGCAACTTCATCTTGGGCCTAGAAAGTTATTTCAGCAAAACTAAAATATTATCTGCTTCCACCCCCTGTGTCTCCAACTATAAAATTTGCAAACCCTCTTGCAGTCACAAAATATCTAAAATTCCATTGAATATCAAACATGCCCTTTCCTTATTTCTACTCTTCCCTCTCTCTTTACTCTTTTTGTTCTCATTCTTGATTTTTCCTCTCCTTTTGTCCTCTGCCCAGGGCATTTTTCTTTCTCCTGCTTCTTTGTTCTTTTATTATATTTATCAAAGTTAGTCTTTTTCTTTTAAAGATTTATTTGAGAGAGAGAGAGCACAAGCAGGAGGGGCAGACAGCAGACTCTGTGCTGAGCCAGACACGGGGTTTGAGCTTATGACCCTGAGATCAGGACCTGAGCCAAAACCAAGAGTCAGATGCTTAACCGACTGCACCATCTAGGCACCCCTCAAAGTTAGTCTTGATTAGAGTCATTTATGTGTATATCTGACTCTCTCACTGGTTTGTGAGCCCCTGAGGAAAGGAGACCATTTCTTGTTTGTCACTGTCACCCAACGCTCAGTCAGTGCCTAACACTGAAACGCTGTTTGCTTTCAGTCGGATTCTAAATAAATTAGTAAAAATCTTCTCTTTCTTCGGAACTCGTTCATAGGAAATTGAGAGAAGTCACCCAGCCACTGTGAAATTACCCCAGCAATTGAAAAAAAAAAAAAAAAACAGAGAAAGAACACCAGAACTTTGTTCATAACAAAGACACATACACATGTGTCCATCAGC